GATATGTGAATAAAATAGAACAATAAAATACAGGGTGTTCCATTTGAAAAATTTTAGAAAATCAAGTTTGAACTTTCTAAAAATGATTATTATAATAAAAATGCACTGTATAAAATATCGATATTAGCTAATATAGGAGTCTTTGACTAACATTTGTAACTCTGTCAAATATTTTTGCTCCAAGTGTTAGTAGTTGAACGTTAATACAACTTCATAGAATTTTCTCAGAAATTTATATGTTTAAAAATATACAGGGTGTTCCATTTAAAAAATGTAATCTTTGGCGTGTCCCGTTTTTACTAATCGCCCTGTATGTTTCAAATTAACTTTGTCCTTTAGGTTTCTTTGATTCTGTACAAGTTTATATAAAAAACTTTTTTTCTGTATTATGAATAACAAGGTAGTTATTTTACTTTTTCACACTAATGGCCCACCCTGTAGATGTACTTCAAAAACAAAATATAATAGACCCATGACCTACGAGGAATCATTATTATTTGATGTTCTAGCAGCTTTTAAATTCATGGCACTTGTTTCTAAAACACCCTGTAGAATAACACTACACCTAAATTTCATATTTTTCAGACTATACGCATAACAGAGATATTAGCAAAAAAATATGACCTCGAAAACGAGTTAATACGGCCCTGTATACGGGAATTATAATACTCATTATTTGTATATTAATAAAAAAAATTACTATTATCTATCAATTTATGCTGCTATTGGACAACTTTTTTCTATGACGGGCATCCGTGCTGCGGTCCTGGTTAAGCACAAATCAAATACTGTCTATATTTTTATCTTAATGGTAGCAATGCAAGTGATACGTAATATAATGATACTGTATACTTACACTACAAGAGTCTCTGTTGGCTTGTCCAGCACACAGCATATGTTCCACAATACCCCCTGGAGCTGCAGGTCCGTACTTCAGCTTGCAATCCCTGTTGCTCCAAATAGGTATGTTGACTTCTTGCAAAATAGCGGGTTGAGGACCACCTAAACATGAGGTAAGTTAAAAAGAATCAGGAATAGTTGTTTCTGCTCGATGTATGGGAACTTGTGATGAGGTCATCCTTCAAATTTGTACAGGTTATTAAGCAAACTATAATCCATCCAAAAAACGCTAGAGAATTAAATAGCCTAAGAAAAGGCTTTCTTGACATGTGAAGTTGTTATTGTAATTGTCCTAAAAGGATCCGAACCCCGAAGTTGAAGAATATTAAGAAATCAATATCATGGTGACCTTGGATTTGTCCTTGAACCAAAGTTTCAAGGTCAAACCAAGGTCGAGTTGAAAATATTACATGTAACATCCTATTTTTATACCAGCAATCCATAAAGAGTAAAATTTTACGTCCATTTAGACTCAAAAAATATTTCCTCTCCCTGCAAGTCATTTGGAAATCAAGCTCATTTTTATCTGAATAACTAATAATAATAATTCAATGACAAATTAAATGCTGACCTTNTGGACAACTTTTTTCTATGACGGGCATCCGTGCTGCGGTCCTGGTTAAGCACAAATCAAATACTGTCTATATTTTTATCTTAATGGTAGCAATGCAAGTGATACGTAATATAATGATACTGTATACTTACACTACAAGAGTCTCTGTTGGCTTGTCCAGCACACAGCATATGTTCCACAATACCCCCTGGAGCTGCAGGTCCGTACTTCAGCTTGCAATCCCTGTTGCTCCAAATAGGTATGTTGACTTCTTGCAAAATAGCGGGTTGAGGACCACCTAAACATGAGGTAAGTTAAAAAGAATCAGGAATAGTTGTTTCTGCTCGATGTATGGGAACTTGTGATGAGGTCATCCTTCAAATTTGTATAGGTTATTAAGCAAACTATAATCCATCCAAAAAACGCTAGAGAATTAAATAGCCTAAGAAAAGGCTTTCTTGACATGTGAAGTTGTTATTGTAATTGTCCTAAAAGGATCCGAACCCCGAAGTTGAAGAATATTAAGAAATCAATATCATGGTGACCTTGGATTTGTCCTTGAACCAAAGTTTCAAGGTCAAACCAAGGTCGAGTTGAAAATATTACATGTAACATCCTATTTTTATACCAGCAATCCATAAAGAGTAAAATTTTACGTCCATTTAGACTCAAAAAATATTTCCTCTCCCTGCAAGTCATTTGGAAATCAAGCTCATTTTTATCTGAATAACTAATAATAATAATTCAATGACAAATTAAATGCTGACCTTGGATTTGACCTTCACCACAAGTTGCATCGTCAAACTAGGGTCAACTTAATATCAAATAGAATAAGAGATAAGAAAAAGGATGTCCTTGTAGGTAATTTGAAGGTCAAATTTATTTGTCGCAAAAAATTCCTCAGTGTTAACAATTTTGAAATTTAACACATTAGGTTAATAATTAAAATTTGATGATAGTTGGACAAAAATAAGAATAATTTTTTCAGGGTGGCCTCGGCTTGACCTTAAAATTTAAACTCAAGGTCGTCAATTTTTTTTAAAACTTTTTTTGATAAAACCCAATGCTGAAAGGTTATCGGAGGCTTCGCACCTTTAGGGACACCCTGTATAATTGGTCCTTTCACTGAAATTATGAGTAGAAAATTTTTTGTTCCATCTCACTTTCTAGATGACTCCAGGAACGGCTTTTTTATTTACATAAATCCCAAACTCTCTCGGTCTTATTTATTAAATCTATACATATTTTTAATTGCTTACTCTCTCTCAAACTTCCCCAACCAATCACCGTTGCTGTCTTTCCAGAGTGATCGTTGCCGCCATTGGGTAAACAAACAGGCCTAATTTGTTGTGTGAAGTCCACAGGACTATCCAATGTCAGAATGGCGATGTCGTTGTACTGTTAAAACAAAGGAACATAATAAAATTTAACTGGTTGGGAAATGAAAGCAACTTGTTTACCAGTGTCCTTGAGTCGAATCCTCTATGCCGAACGACTCTTTTCACTCTTTTTTCAACGTGGTTTATTTCAGAGTTCGTTCTGATGTTGTGGTCTCCCAACTTTACAGTCAGTCTAGCGACATCCCATGAGCTCATACTAAAAAAACATGTATTTCCGATTACGATAATGGTAATTTTCAAATGGACTGAGAAGCATAAGCTTAATCAACCCTCTAATACACGATTTTCGAGTTTGCATGTACAGGATGTAACTAAATCCTTTGACAAAACGCTTTATCTTTGAGACACAGAATTAATTTAAAAAAAATACGATTTTCTAATTTAAAAATGTTAAGGGGGCAAGATATTCAATTTCAAAAGCAAAATTATGAATACTTTGGAAACTACGTATTTTTCCACTGCATAAGAACTTCTTTATTTATTGCCAGATTATAACATTTTTTTTATTAGATAGACATTGTGATGGTGCGTCGGAAACATGTGCCAATCATTTTATAATTAAAAGTCATGGCCAACTACGACTTCCTTCATAATGCAAAAATTAGAGAAGCAGTTTTTTAAGAAAATATTCCAAAAAATTTTTTAAAAAGTGAAGAAATTGATTTGATGCAGCTTTTATTCCAGACATTTTTCGGTATTACATGTATTTTATTACTGTCTTAAGTAGACACCTTGTTTATTCTACTGGCACTACAAATAATGGTACATACAGGGTGTTCCTAAATAAGTGTCGCAACGGAACACTGTAAATTCCTCTTGAAAAAAGTAGCATTCTTTTCCTCTTACATTTTTCTCTCCGGGCTTTTGTTTTCAAGATACACGGTGTCAAAACTTTCATTTTTTTTTTAATTTTTTGCCAATTTCTTAGGAACCATTTGAACTACAGGACTGAGTTTTTGTACACGCATAACCACTATAGCAACTTTTTCGCACCCTTCTCGAATTCATTAAACATGCCAGTGGTGGAGATTTTAAGGTATCGTAAGGGTTTTTCCCCCCTAACTTTTATGCCACTGGAAAAATTGACATTTGATTTGACAGCAAATTCTGAAGGGCCAATGAATTTTACACAAAAAGAATTCTCTTGGTTCATTGCTCTAAAGTCAACCGTTTTCAAGAAAAATTACTTTTTATGAACAAAAATAAACATTTTGCTAACGTTTCGAAAATCTTTTGTAATTCAAAAGATAGATAGTAATAAATAACAATTTTAACTAAATTTAACAACATTTGCAATAAGTAGCTATTAATAGTGGTAATGTGTGTACAAAAGCTCAGTCCTGAAGTTCAAACGGTTCCTAAGATATTGGCAAAAATCTGAAAAAAGGTTTTGACACCGTGTATCTCGAAAACGAAAGCCCGGAGAGAAAAATGGAAGAGGAAAAAAATGTTTCTCTTTTCAAGAGGAATTTACAGTTTTCCGTTGCGACACTTATTTAGGAACACCCTGTATATGTTTCAGATAGAAATACATTGCAATTTTTTCCTTAAAAAGCCGTTATTGGTCGCAGTTAGCCCTGATTTTAAACAACTTCTGGACGCGCTTTCATAAAGTATATCTAACAACATAAAATATCGTTTCGGTCAGCAAATAAAAAAGTCCTGAAAGTAGAACACACTGTAGATATTTGTTATTTGTTGTCATTAAAATTTAACCAACGATTTTAGTAACATCTATCTTGTATCCTGTATATTTCGGATTAAGGGCGTCATAAATATTTATAAATATAGTTTAAAAGCTATGGTAGGTTTTATGCAACCATCATTACAAGCTAAGCGTATTGCAAATTACATACTTCCAAAGGACAATGGTATGTGTGTACAAGGGAAAGTCAAAGGAACAGTTCCCTCCTATTTTTTTGTCATGTCTTCC